CATAAGTACATAATGTAGCTACCAACTTCATATGTGCAAAAGCAGTGCACAATCGGCTTCGAAAAATTGGTTTGCGGGCAAGAAGGTAAAATGAGGGTCTAATGTTGACACCATGACATCGGCAAATCCAACGTGATTGGGCAAGATGTCAACTGGATTTACATATGTGCCGAGTACGCATGGTGTGTTAGAGATTTTGTCTAGTGTAAGTGGGAGCAAATGACCGAAATATATGGTTAAGGACAGATACGTAGCAAATGTAACTCAGGAATAACAAATTAAATTGCCTTCTCTCTTTTGGTTGTTTATAATACAGAAAACCTATAACATTTTATAGGAACGCCGCCGCTGTCTTAAATGATTGGTTTTTATGACAAGATGGTGCTTTATATTATATGCTGGGTTTCTTAATTATGATAATATAGTTTTGCATTATTTGCTGATGTTATTTCACTGTGTTCAGGTGCTTTTTCCATTTTATGCTGTGGCTATTTCCATATGAAGAGGCTATTTTGCATCATATTCTGTTTTTCCCTCATTTTGATGAGTTGCTTTTCAATATTTGCTGTGTTTTTCATCATGACGAGGTAATCACTCGGAACTTCTTAAACTCGTGTGCTCATATTATATAGAGCATGGAGGATTTCCGATTGCAGCACCTTTTTCATACTTCAAGTTACATGATCGTTTCTTACGTTCACTCAACAATCAGTGGTGTATGAGGGACAGTATATATCAAGGCGTCATAGTTCAATTAATTATATAGTTCAAGAAATTAAAAAATACAACATACAAGAACGTGAGTGAGAGTCATGTGTACAAAATAAAGCAACAAACACACAATGAAAACAGGCAGGGATTTTTGAGTTTAACAAAATCTTTTAAGATCTTCTGAACTAAATGAAATTTATCATTAGGGACTTAACTTTTAGAATATATTTAAAAATAAATATGATTTTCCGAACAAATTTCAGTCTTGTTAGCTATTGTAAGCCTCCAAACATACAACAGTTCGGAGTATTTAAAAAATGTGTAATTTACACTCTCCATTTTGCTAAGTAAATTTTCATTAGTTTAGATGCTGCCCCCCCCCCCCCCCCCCAACACACACTTTTTGTTGTTGTAAGGTCGAGCACTGGTAAATTCCATCCATGATTTGGTAAAGGTTATTAGTTGTTTTTTTATTCTTATTTTTATTTATTTATTTATTTTGCTTGTCAGACTTTTTTTTTTAGAAGTTACCCCCCCCCCAACTTTTGAAACCCTTGCTACGGTATAAACCGAGGTCCCGTGTCGCAGTAGGTGCTGGCACGAAAAAGATCCCTCACTGCTCAATGGCCCTGAGTGCCGAGTATAGGTCAGAATTTGCAGCTCAGTACAAGAAATTTAGATTTTAACACACTTCAATTAAAGGCATTTTTACATTAAATAATCTTTTGAAAGGTGACGCAATCGGCAATCCGCCATACTCCATATGAACACAGCATATAATGAAAAGCACCCCATCATAATGAAAAAAAACCCACAGAATATAATGCGAAAGCACATCATCATAATGAAGAAACAACAACATGTATTGTAAAAGCATCTCATCAAAATGAAGAAACCACAGATCTTCGGATTTACATATAATCGGACATACATTTGCTATATACTATAGTATTCCCACTGGTGTCTGTTTGTCCGCAAAAACTTTAACCTTGCCCATAACTTTTGATTTATTGGAGCTATGGATTTCATATTTCACATGTGATTCCTCGTGACAAGCCTTCCTTTGGGTACCAGGATATTTGACACGTTATATTTTGTTTATTTCTATCGTCACAAGTTTTAGTCGTGTAATATTTCTACTTAGTGTGTAAAGTTTGCTACTAAAACATGCATGACTATAGCAGTGCCTGGGAAGGTCAAGCAACAGGTGGGGCCAATGGCCCCACTGTTCATAAAATGATGGGGCCATTTTGAAATTTAAGGGGCCAAGGGGAAATATATTGGGGCCATTCTAGAATAAATCATATTATGATGCTATAGGATAATGCATATATCTCTGATATCTCAACAAAATTTAGGAAAATTAAAAAGAAAAATGCGATAGGGATTGACAAGTCATATGACATTGCATGACTAGTGCAAATGATTTTTCCGTTTCTAAGAACTTCAGTCAATCGTCATCTAGATTCTAACCAACTAGTATTTAGAAAAATTATATTTAAACCAAAAGCACCATTTTTTAATGATGCCGATTTAGAGATCACGGGACAGGCTAAAATAAGTGGACTTCGCCGAAAAAGGTTTTTCATTGTAAGGTATATAAATTTTCCATGTGCGTGACTTTCGTAAAGCTGTGGTCAACCATCGAAAACGAATTGACACTTGCGAATCGAACGACATGAAAAAAAACTGTTTCTTTGCCAGTGGATGTCAATATGCCGAATGATGGTTCCGATTTTATTATATAATACATTACAGATTCCATCTAACCTCAATGAAGAATACAGATAGTGTGGACTGCGATGAACTTACAAAGTAATAAAACATGCATACTCGCATTTTGCGGGGCGCGCCGCATGGCGCTGCGCACCATTATTTCATTGCGCCATTTTTCGACAGTATGCGCATATGGCGCATGGCGCGGCCCCTTCCCAGGCCCTGCTATAGATGGTTTTCGTATGACATATTTTTTTCCTCGGAGTTATTCCCCTTGGCCGCCATCTTGTAGGTCAAAGTAGTGAATTTTCCTCTTTGAACAACCAATTGTAAAAACGCATGCCAAAAATATATGGTAAAAAATATTTACAATATTGAAATTATGAATTAAAAGAAGCTTTAACAAACGTATATTCATAAGAAAAACAGTGTTATCTTCACCTCAGTGCCCAGTATAACTTGGTTGAATAATGAAGGGATCTGGGGGTGTTGACCTACAATGTGGCAGCCATAGGAAATAACTCTTGCTTAAATCACCTTGATGGAAAATCATCTATAGATAATCCGAATTCATAAACAAGATCAATTCTTGCATTTATCTCTCTTTGCGTATTACAGATTTAATGTGTGTGTGTGTGTGAGGGTGAGGGTGTGTGTGTGTGTGTGTGAAGAGCAACCGCCTCCATTAGATTAAGGCCACCTTAAAATGTCAGACCAATGCGGAAACCCAAGTGTCATGCAATCGAAAACACTCCCCAACATGCCACTTGCAAAATTAAGGAATAAGGATTATTAGAAAGAGATTAAAATGTTTGTGAATAATTCTAGAATTTCTGTCAATCAATCTTCCCCTTCATTTCTTTACCTTTTCATTCAAATAATACATGTACGTTTGAATTTTTCTGTTTTTTTTTTCATGCATCTCTGTCAAATAATGACTTATCACAACCAATGAGAGTATTTCCATGCAAGCACACAACCGACCTCGAATTTATGTGTTTTGCAAGTTTGCTTCAGTTGCTCGTACACGTGTACAGTTTTTAAGTGTTTTGTACAAGTTCATTTTTTTCATGTACGAGTAGTTCTACATTGAATTAAAAAACAAGAAGTGTTTGTGAAACACTGATGCCCCCGTATGACAGCTTTTGAGGAATGTTGAAGTTTCTCAAATGCAAGCCAAACTCCAAGGTCAAGGGATGAAAAATGTTGTTATCCAAAGAAAGGACTTGTTCTCAATGAATATTCCTGTGAACTATGAAAGCCCAAGCACTAATCATTAAAGAGTTATGGCAAAGTTTAAAGTGCTTTAAATGTGGGTCAAACTCCAAGGTCAAGGTCAAAAGTTCAAATCATAGGTACCCAGGCCTTGTCATAAGAAATACATACATGTACATCTGTATGTGAAAGATTAAAGCCCTAGTACCAATTTTTCAAATCTATGGCCAAGGTTAAAGTTTATCAGAAGTCAGTCAAACTCCAAGGTCAAGGTCAAAAATCAAAATTGTTGGTATCCAAAGAGAGGCCTTGTAACATGAAATACACCTGTGAAATATGAAGGCCCTAGTACTAACTGTTCCAAAGTTATGTTCAATGTTAGAGTTTTTTTTAAAGTGGATCAAACTCCAAGGTCAAGGTCAAGGTCAAAAGGTTAAAAAATATTTAAATCCATGGAAAGGTCTCATTTCTATGAATACACATGTGAAATATGAAATTTTTCCCAACTTTAACCTTGGCCATAACTTTGATGCTAGGGCTTTAATACTTCACATGTGTAATCCTTGTGACAAGACCTTCCTTTGGATACCAACAACTTTGACCCTTAGTACTTGACCTTGGAGTTTGACCTACTTTTGAAAAACTTTAACATTGGCCATATCTTTTGAACGGTTGACGCTAGGGCTCTCATATTTCACATGTTTAATCCTTGTGACAAGACCCTCCTTTGGATACCAACAATCATAGCCCATTGACCTTGACCTTGGAGTTTGACCTACTTTTGAAAAATTTTAACCTTGGTCAAAACTTTTCAATGGTTGGTGCTGGCTTTCACATTTCACATGTGTATTTCTTGTGAGAAGGCCTTTCCTTGGGCACCATTTATTTTGACCTTGACCTTGATGTTTGACTTACTTTTGAAATTTTTTAACCTTTTCCGTATCTTTCCAATGGTTACTGCTAGGGCTTTCATATTTTACAAGTATATTCCGTGGTACAAGACCTTACTTTGGGTACCAACATATTTGATTTGCATTTGAGAAAGTTTAACCTTCGCTATAAGTTGCCATACGGGGGCATCAGTGTTTCACAAACACATCTTGTTTTAAACTGAAAGAAGGGTTTTTTCCTGATGTACATGGTGTGTTTTGAATATTTGAATGTAAGATCCACCAAGAGATTATCAATTTTGTTAAGTTTTTCATCTATTTGACTTTGTTTCTGGTGTCCTATATCTCCATTAGAACCAATGTGTACAGATATATTTACCCACTGTTTGATACGAGACTCCTTTCTATCCTACAATTTGAGATGTATAACATATAATGCACGATATTTTTACCTTTACAATGGAACACTTCTTGAAATAATTGAATTTAATGACATGATAAATATATAATGGCAAACATGTGAAGTGAATTATGTAGAAAATATAACAGTAAAATATTTACAAGAAAAGATGATAAACAATATTATAAATGTCATTTACCCGATCATTAACAAAGTCAAATTAACAAGCAATAACAACGACGGCAGTCAGTAACGTCTACCAGATGATACGGATACTCTGGTTTTTCACTGGACAATGGTCAATATCATTTGTCACGTGATTCCAAGGAAATGCACGTTGATCACTGGAAGAATCAACAGTCCCTCACTCTGAGAAGTGTCAATGCTCAGACACCACTTGGTCATAAATTTCAATCGTCCTCTCTAGTTTTTACAAGTGGGCACATCAATATCCTCCATTTCAAAACATATCATTTGCCTGCGGACTGTCCGTAACCGGCACCCCTTCTTTTTCCTCTCACAGCCTTTCAGTCCTCTTTTAAGCTTTCGTTGGAAGTCTTTCACCGACTCTGTGGAATATATGTACAAGAATTTGTCAAATTCTTATGTTATTGACATATAGGAGAACATAGCAGGCAATGTCACTCACTGTGCTGAGACTTTCACTCACTTATTTATTTATTTATTTTTGTAGAATGCATGTCTTTATCGAAAATTACGCCAGAAAACATTGTACCAGTATGAAGGGAACCTTATTCTAATTTCTAATTCCCGTAGCTGTGTTGGAGCCACTGTAGAATTAACATTGCATTCTGTTAAATCATCCTCGCAAAAACAAAGGGGAAATATTTACTCAGACAAGATTTAAAGAGAGATAAATAAAAATGGAAAACAATTCTTGAGATAAACGGTAAATAATTGATAAATTAATATAACTTAGACCCTCTGTTTTGATTTTCTTTCAGATATTATCCTGCCAATGATTGAAATTAAAAATCAATTTCACTAAATAATTCAGTCGCCAAATACAGCGATTTTTTTACTTTGAAAATACTGCATTACATTTGTATATTTATTGATAGCAGAAATAAATGATGTAGATAGACAAATGTTGGCTAATCCAGGAAAACTACGCGCCTGCGGCAGTTAAACAGACACTCCACCCTTAAAAAGCTTGAAAAGTGATATAAGGTGCATATCAACAAAACATGGCAATTACCAGCCTCCATGCTATAACATTGACAAGAGGCTTAAAATTTGCCTTTATATGTAGATTAGATGAAGAGATCTTTACTTACTTGCACTGGCAGCCCCAAGAATGGCGTTTGAATTTTGTATCTGAAGTCTAAAAGAATAGGAGGAGCATTTTTCTGGATCTTTTCTCTCTTTTATTTTATCTGAAATACAAAATAAATAAATAAACACTGCTAAAATCCTACACTGGTTAATTATCTGTAAGGAAGAGGAAAAAGGTATCCGCTTTTTAAAAAGAATTGGCTTGATATATTCTCTAAAAATTGGAGATTAATATCTCAAACGTAAGATTTAAATAGTAAATAGTAAGAATATATCTTATACTCGTACATTCATTAACAAAAAAATATTTGAGATTTGGCCAGCACATTTAAAATATGACAAAATAATCATGACTGTCTAAGTTTTGTACATGACTTAAACCTCAAGAAAGATCAATTCTCCAACTCCAATTTTTGCTTTATTTTCCTGTACTGCAATTTGAGTCATGATGTATATACTGATCTTAGAACCAATAATTATTATACTTTAACTTTAATATAACTGTATTTTATTATAGATTAACCTGTGCACAGGTCCATCGAGTTAATGAATTTTAGATGCTTTCATCTACCTGACTCGAGGTATATTTCACATTAAATACTTTTTTGGTAACGTATACTGTTTTCTTGGAAATCATTTAAAGACTATTGCCATGGTTGTAATGAATCTATTGTATCAATATTGAAATACTTATGTAATGGATGTCTCTTTTCTGTATATATGTTTATTATATATTTTTGAGATGAACTATATAAATCAAAAGGGTACACATTTTCAAAATAGTCATTACCGCTACATACTCATTACCGCTGAAAAAATATTGCACATTACTGCTACATATATACTTAACCGCAAAAATCTCTCTTCCTTTAGCCATCATCTTGTACACGTACAAAGTATAAAGTTTTATTTTTTTCTCGAAATTTGTAAATACATGCTGAATGAATTACATGTATATTAAATAGTATTCACACTTAATTATTTACTGTGCTTCAACTACATGGTGAATAAATTATTTTGAATAAAACTCATGTTCTGTGTCATGCATACTTATATGATATACCTCGTAGACAGCTTTGTTTACGTAGCGGTAATGAGTTGTAATTTCTTGCAATGTACATGTATCTGTAAAGTGTTACTCTCAATCAAAGTAACAACCTTTCATTTGTCAGCATTTATAAACAAAGAAAATGCTGATAAACCCATAACCTTTGGCTATGGTTAACTAGCTACCGTTCGAAATTTTAGAGTAGAAATAGAGAAGAAAAAGAACGATAATCGAACCTTTGTGAACAATATATCTCCAGATTTCCACCATTTGAGATTTTACATTATCAAATGCAATAACAATAGTGTCATTGTCTTTTCCGTTTTCTTTCCCGCTAATTTTAAGGCGGTAAATAATAAATTCAGTCCTTGCTGGTAAACACAATTTGTTGAAATGACATGGAAGAGCGCCATCTATCGGCAAAGCGAGTGGTAGTATTGAAGGGCACTGTTTATCAACCATCGTGGAATTATGTCTAACTTTTGTGCATTTCTTTGATTTCTTTCTTTGTCTTCTTCTATTTTTCCTTTTATTTCTACGACCACCTGTAATGAAAATTGAAATAAGAAGATTTAATACAGTCTCAGTATATCATGCCATTTTTAATGACGTAATTTTGCTATTTCCTGCGGGTCTGACGTATTTTCAGTTCTGTAAAAAAACGTAACATTTTGGAATAGGTTACAATTAAATTTTCGAGGAAATTATTCTATATTTTGATGAAAAGTCAATACCCTTTCGCTTGCTTCGTCCTTTCTTGTTTTTCCTTTTGTTCTTTCGTTTATTTTTTCTGCCTTTCTTTCGTCGCTCCCTGTCTTTTTTACACACCCCTTTGACTTTTTTTATTGGTCGATCACATGTTTTACAACACTGTCCCTTCACTCGATACTGCTTCTTACAGAGTAATCTTCGACACTGCTCCCTTTCACATGTAATCGCTCCGTTCTGTAAAATACACACAACTGCAGTTATCTTTTGATTTACGAAACCAAGTCGCCCGCGTGGCGCAGTGGTTAGAGTGTCTGCTCTAGAGTCGCGAAGTAAGGAGTTGATCCTTACGTCGCGGGTTCGAATCCCACTGTGGGACGTGGAGACCGGTCCTTCGGATGAGACCGTATAAACCTAGGTCCCATGTCGCAGTAGGTGCGGGCACGAAAAAGATCCTCACTGCTCAATGGCCGTGAGTGCCGAGTATAGGACAAAATTTGCAGCTCTCCACCGGCAAGTGGTGGCGTCTCCATATGAGTGAAAAATTCTCGAGAGGGACGTTAAACAGCATACAAACAAACGAAACCAAATTCGAATATCAGTCATCCATACTACTGCTGTAGACTAATTCTTTGAACGCAGTCTGAATTTAAGATTCGTGTTCTATGTATAAGATTCAGATGTGTTTCATTACAGAGGAAATTTTTTGTTGTTGTTGTTTTATCTCTCTCCATATAACAACAGTTTCTGCTTTTACAGTTTAAACGGTGGACACGTTTATTTCATTTGTTGACATCTTTGACTGACAATTTTACAATAGCCACGTCTGTTTCATTTAGCTTTGACTATTACAGTTTAATAACAGTGGACACGTCAATTTAAATTTATCAACATCTTTGGCGTTGACAATTTTACAATAGACACGTCTATTTCGTTTATTAGCGTCTTTGGAATTGACAATGTCATAATCTATTTCATTTATTAACATCTTAGGCTTTGACATTTTAACAGTATACACATCTACATTATGTATTTCATTTATTAACGGTTTCGGTTGAGGATATTCCGTCTTTTAGTCTTACCAGACACGTGCACGTAATGCAGGGATCTTTTTCTCCAGCGACTTCCGGTTTCCAGTTAGTTGAATTCTTCCTAAGAGCTCCTTTGCCATCTATACAGTCTATTAAAAAGATTAATATATGAAATTTTTACTATTTTAACTAAATATTTTTAGCAGAATTTACCATCATATATTTCATGGTGGTTAATATTGGATCTTAATTGTAAAAGATGAATTAAATACTGTAGTCATGTACATACAACCTACTGGATACATATCAACAGTATAATTTCTTTAAAATATAAGGAAATTATTAAAGGTCTGTTTAATTAAATGAACCTTGCATAATTCAAGTCATTAATCAAATATACATTGTAAATAAATTGATCACCCAAATATTAACTAATAATTTTAATATTTTATAGATCGATATTATTATAAATGTTCAAATTATTTTAGCCTTCCTTGGAAACTACTACAACTTGCATATTTTTTTTAATCACTAAAAGTTAGGACTGTCATTGATAAGTTTTAATAACGATATATAATGTATCGATTTATCGATATTTCACTAGATTAACAACACAAACCCTAAGGAAGGTTTTTAATCCGCATAAATTGAAATAGTAGTCCAGTAAGAAACTTTTGTATTATGCAAACCTGAAGGTGAGCAAATGAATATTTTAGTGTTATGTGTTGAATAAATTGTAATCCAGTTTTAGATAAGACAGACTATACGTCTTAAAGTTCGTACAATATAACTTTGAAAGTTTAATACATGTATCTTAAAGTCAGCCAAATCTGCAAGACAATGCAATGCGAAAAGAATTTAGGACACCTGCTTTCTTTAAATCTACAGCTGAATCTTGCATTTCTTGGTTATACTATAAAATTTATAATGCATGTGTAATGTATCGATTCTCATGGATATACTGGAGAACCTATCGAAGCACTCTATTGAACTGACCAATGACAGCCTTGCTAAAAGTACAGCACTACAACACTCCAAAAGAGAAACGAAAATAACAGTACGGACAGAAATTGTGTATTCTAAAGCTTCCTTCTAAGAAAGAGTAGGACTACGAATTTACAGAGTGAAATAAGAAACACAGCAGAAAACCAAGACCTTGAGTTTTTGCTAACTCTTAAAGTCTGCATTCTGAAGTCCCTCTTGTCTGTAGTTTGACTATGAATGTTCATTCAATGTTTTCAAATCATCCTTGAAACTGTACATAATCTGATTTTGAAGCGTTCTGCTCAAAGAAATGCTTCCTATGGGAGATCTGCCGTTATGGAGGGCCCAACCAATATTTATTTACTGCAGCAAGATTCTGAACCAGAGTTAAGAAATCGAACACTGACTCACATGAAAAAGTCATGGCCATTAATAAATTCAACTTACCCTCTGGATTTTCCGACAATACTAAGAATGTAAACACTCCCAGTATCAAGAACGCTAATTTGACCAAGTATTTGGCGGCCATTTCTATTCAGAAATGAAGTGAGAAGCCAGATGCTTATAGTCACGTGACTACTCTTAAAATTGCTAAGAGGTTTACGAGCGATTATATCTATAAGATATGGAACGTAATCGTGTTTAAAAATACCCATACAGTCTCTCCTTAAATATAAATACGCTTCCTTTATACACTGAACATAACAGAAAACAAAAAAAAAACATGAATACTTTGCCTTTGTTGGCATAAGAGCAATATATTCAAGAGATCAAAACGGGTAAATTTGTATCTGATTTTTTTTTTTACCGGCCATTAAATAATTAGATAATCTTTAAAACAATAAGAAAAAGGCTAGTATTTCTTTGAGGTAGAGCTTTGCACTAGCTTACGATACGTAAATGAAAAAAAAGTTTGGATGGTTATTTTATAAATGTAAATTTTCTGTCTTTGTATGAATAATTTGAATGGATTAGTTAAAATAAGACAAAGTATTCAAGCAATTTGTAAACAACAGATCAAATCTAGATCAGCCTGAGTTTTGAAAATTACGAAACCTCCAAAAATCAAATCTATTTTTAGTTGATAACTGAGTTTTCTGTGTTATAAATGTTAGTATATATATAAATGAATTGTTCTAATTATTAATTAAGAAGGAAAAGAATGGTTATATTCACTCTCGTTTTAATATTTACCCATATCATTTAGTAATTAAATTGATTTTGTTACAAATAAAGTAAAATAAACAGTTAGTTTCTGAGATTTTGAAAGTTAAATAACAAAGGTTGGGTTTTGCTTTTTTTTTTTTACATGGTTTAAATGTTACTTAAAATGTATATATATAATCTACAAAAGGAATGGAAGAAGAAGAAAAATAGCCGTGGCTAGACTGCCTATTGCAGAAATCAGACCCACATACCTTCTGGTCTCCGCCTTTCTAATCTATCTTTTGATTTGATATCTAGAGACAAAAATTACCCACGATTATCCTATATTTCATTTCAAAAATCTCTTTGTATGTGTTTATTAGTAGGAAGACACAATCTCCTTCAATGACTTATGTCATGGTCAGTGCAGTAATTTTGTTTCAAAAAGTATTCCACATACTGTGAGCTTAGAATGCGATTATTGCAGTGATGTTTCATCGACATGTTTTATTGACTTACATGTGTAAAATTAAAAAAATATATTTTAATATCTAGATGAAAAGCAATCGATATTTACTTACCAACACAAACTGGACAGCATGTATCTGGGGACTGGTAGAAATTGCTACAATGTTGTCTGATTACACACGTCTTCAGAAAGCAGTAAATTTGTCCAGACTAAAAAAAAGATAATAATAAAAATAAAAAAATAAAAATGAAGCTTTATAAGGTTTCAACATTCCTATTCAACTTTTAAGTGATACACATACAAGTATATTTTATTAAATTTTATCTTTTTAATTTTAGGCTGTACTCGATCTTTGATATAAAATGTTTTTCGAAGACAAATATATGTACAAGCTTCTATAGTGATTTTTTTTTTAAATCACTCTCTCTCTCTCTCTCTCTCTCTCTCTTTGTGACAAACCTGACAAATGCAGTTGACACACTGGTCAGATCTGGTGGGGGTGATATGTGTATTGTTGTTGGAGAAGAACTGGTTGTGTTGATAGACCCTTCCCTCAAAGTGGCACTTCCGGTCCTTATTTCCCGCCTCCCCATCGTCAATCGGCGCTACTGTAGGAATGATGTTTTTTAGATCTAGGTGAAAATAGTGCGGGATAGCTATTTCAGGCCAGAAATTTCTACACAGCCATCGCCCCACAACACAAACTTCAACTTATTGAATTATTTAGAACATATGCATATATGGACGCACACTAATTTTATAGATTATCTATTTCTACTGTAATTTTCGAATAGTAAATGAAAAACTGTACAATAATAAATCTGATACGTAAACCTATCGAAGAGAGATAGAAAGAGAGGTGGTCACCTTCACACACTGGACAGCAGGCCCCCACTGGATATCTAGGGGTCTCACAATTTAATATTGGACACTCCACTTTGTCGCAGGTTACAGTGTTCTATTGAAACAAAATATTTTATTGAATGCAATTTTTATTCTAATTATTAAAGAAAAAAAAATCAAGAATCATTACTTCTAATGAAAGATGCAGTTATTCAAATACATGTATTTATTAGATTGTGAAAACACTTTATAAACCACATACCGAGTAAATTACACCGATATCCGAAAATAATTACAACTAGATGCGTTTCTTGTTGCTAGGGCAACAAGTGGTCTTCCGACCGAACTTTTCTCCAGATCGCTGTGCTACCTCACTTCATTTAATACTTTATTGAAGGTATTTTTTGTTCGCGTTTATGTAACACAGTCTTTCAACATAGATCATGATTATTAAAGGATTTCTGTAGAATCTCTGTTAAAAAAGCTTTAAAAATTAAGCAAAAACTATCATACATGTCTTCACAGAGAAAAATATCATTTACAACTGAAAAAAGAGAGAAACAATCTCCCGCCCCAGCAGGATTCGAACCCGCAACAAAACGAGAAAGTTTGGATCGGACATATGAAAGATATGGAGATAACGAACAGTATTCAAGCTCAAAAGTCCATTAAACAATACAAAATAGGAGCAGAGCAAACACGGACCTCCAAACATCAGAGGTGGGATCAGGTGCCATGGAGGAGTGAGCATCCCCTGCCGACCGGTCACACCTGCCGTGTGCTCCTTGTCATGATCGGGAAATCACGGAAAAATCCGTCGACAATTCAGTGTGTAAATAATGGCCTAACAATTAGTATGAAAAACGTTAGTCAGCATTTGACTCAATGATAAATTGTATTTGCTGACAAGGCCATTGTATCGACCATAGAACTTACGAAATGATGACTTTAAAACGAGACAGCTGATATTCTTGTTTCATCAACTTATTTGTCAATAATTTACCTCGTTTTAGAAATTATACATACGTAGAGCATGCTCTTGCGTATCGAATCAACTGAGAGATATATACCCGTATGCAGGTGATGAAGGTATATTGCTGCATAAGTAAGGGAAGTTGACGATTGAAAAGTTAAAGTCATCACGTTTATCATAAAGCTTGGTTGTTAGATTACCATTAACATCTTTTTCAAGTAAAATATACAAATATGAAACAGATGTGTCAGACTCTGTGGTATCTTTTATCTCAAGTTCACCAGGACATATCGTATCGACATAAGAATGGAAATAGCCATTGTTAATTGACAATACGTCGTCGATATATCTAAATGTCGAGTTGAAGACCACAGCAAGTGTTTTCTTCTTTTCACGTACAAGATTTTGGACAAATTCTGCTTCATATGAATACAAAAAAAGGTCTGCTAATAACGGGGCGCAATTGGTACCCATGGGAATTCCAATAGATTGTTGGAAGACCTGGTCTCCAAAAACCACATAGATATTGTCAATCAGAAACTCAAGCATCTTTTTAATGTCAACTTCAGAGTACTTGTGTGTACAATCAGAATGTTTTTAACAAAATAATTTTGCAAATGACCAATGACAAGGTAAGTATATTTACGAGTTCCATTTTTATTGAAAAAGCAGCTGTCAATGATATCAAAAAGCCTGGAATTTAATTTATCGTGGGGAATGGTTGTGTATAAAGTTGAAAAGTCGTAAGTTTTAAAGCTGTTGATTTTGGTAAAATCTTGTGATTTCAAATTTTCCAAAAGTTCCTTGGAATTTTTAAGTATCCACATCTGATTTACACCACTTCTCGAATATATTGTTGCACAGTACTCTTGAAGTTTCTACCTTCACCACTGTTAATATCTTAGTGAGGAGTAAAGATAGAGGCTTGGTTGAACATATACTGGAACCCGCTATGTATCTTTGTTTGTAAGGATTTTTATGAAGTTTCGGAATCCAATATAAATATGGTAATTCGAATTCATCTTGGTTGTTTGGAATATTAAAAATATTCAAAACTGACATATGATTTTGAAGAAGTTCTTCCTTAGAAAGGGAACTATGAGTATAAGTTGGATTACCACTTGTAGAATTAAATCCAAGTTCCTCTAAAATACATTTAATATAATGAGTCTTACAAACAAAGACAATATTGTTACCTGCTTTGTCAGCAGGGACCAGTACGTACTGATCATGTAATCTATCTTTGTATTACATATCTTTGCAACAAATGCATCAATCAAAATGATAAAAACATACTTAGAACTCTTAGAAGACTCTCGATTAACCATGTAAATCCCAGAGAAAAATATTGAAAAACAAAAAAGTTACAAATTTAACATTTTTTAATTCACTTCCGTTTGCGACCGGAAGTACGAACGATGGAAAATAATGGTCGATCAACATATCTACATTTGATGCTCTATCACCTCAGCAAGTTTCATATTCATATCTTATCATATATATCGAAAGACCTTAATAATAAAAAGTAAACTAATTGTTCAGAGAACAATTAGAGGCCTTTCCACCTTTTTAAGTGTTTTCGTGTCGTTTAGGCCGAAAAAAAGAAAAATGCCAAAAAAAAAAAAAAAGCAAAAAAAAAAAAAAAAAAAAAAAAAAAAAAAAAAAAATCCTCCTCCAGCTGGGATCGAACTCAAAACCCTAGGTTTGAAAGGCAGGTGCTCTAACCACTGCGCTACACATTCCGATAAAATTGAGTAACTTAATTGTTTAAGACTATAGAATAAATACAAGCGTATTTTTAGAATCGGTAGGGGAAGAAAGAAGTTCCGTAAAAGGAAATAGTTCCTGAACTTGCAAGGAGTATATAAAATAACAAGGGACGGGTGTGCGTGAGAAAACGTTAACACTGTTCCCTAATGAAAATGTATTAATGGACTGTAGCCCGATTCATCGATATTGTGAGCATGCTGAATTTTTGGAAAATAGCTTAGTTGTAAGCTTAAAAGATCGGGTTCGGATTTTAACATTTCTGACTGAATATCCTGAAATAAATATGAAACATTTAAATAAGCATTTCTTTGGGTTAAATTAAATATGTGTAGCACAAATTAAACTCCCAACATGCATTTTTAGAAGGGAAACACGACAATGAAAGCGAGAACTGTTTTTAATATACCGAAAATCGCTATTTCTGGAAACTGATTAATTCTAAATAAAAATCAAATAAATTCCAAATGTAAAAGAAAGAGAGAATGCTTGGTATTAAAATGTCGTACCATATCAGGAAAATCGAATGCTACTAACGACATCTGAAGAAATAGCCGATAAAAGGTTTAGATCATTTCTTCGTTCACCTGCACTTTAATTTCATACACAACAGAACTTGTAGTTCTTGCCGTGAAACTTCATGACTTCTATAAACTTATAAGACTCACCGTAAAACTCTCAAGAAAGTTTCTCTGAGGTCTATACTACATATGTACCAAGTATGTTGTCGATCCGAGGTCTGGTTTGAATTTTACAGAAATATTCTACGTTGTTGTTGATGTGATTTTTTTTAAGAAGGGGGGGGGGGGAATGAATTATTTATTTTATGCCTCTTTTAAACTAAGAATTGTAACTACTTTCACATCTTTAAGTCTGATTGTGACCTTTGGGTCAAGATCAAAGGTCAAGGTCATTTAAAAAAAAAAAACAAAAAAAAAAAAACAAAAAAAAAAAAAAACAAAACAAAACAAGGAAATCTTTACTTTCTATGTTTTTACCTGATACTGGAGCTGGATGCATGTCCTTACTTTTCATTTGACCCAATGTCAAGGCTAAAGGTCAAGGTCAAAGTTCAAGGTCATTTGGTGAATTGCTTTATTTTACACATATATAAGGAATTTCTTATGTTTTTAAATGACTTTGACCTTGACCTATATTTCAAGGTCAAAGTCAAACATGCCGATGCAGTTGGTCCCATGTCTCTAGGATACACCGTTTTAAAAAAGGTTCATTAAATGTAAGCAGCATAAACTTTCAGGGGCAGTAACTCATACAAGGGACCAAAGAATGCTTTTGCAATGATAGAATGAAGAGAGTATTAAATGAGTCGAAGACACTGCTGAAGGCTTGGAATCTCTACGCTTTACGGTTTCGGAGGAGTAGCGATAACAAGGTTTTATTGCAAAAGGGGTGACAACTTTTGAATGGGTCAAGCTTTGGGGACAAGAATGAAATCCTTAAAATAGTTTTAGAAGGACATATTATAGATGCAAAGATATTCAGTATATGTCGAAAGGTTTTCTACAGAATCTCTGACAAAAAAAGCTTTTAAAAATCAGCAAAAACTACCATACATGTTTTTAAAGAGAGAGAAGCCATTAGCAACTGAAAAAAAGAGAAAAACAAAGAAAAAAAAATTAACTACCTCCAGAAGGATTCGAACCCCAGACAGTGGGACAAAGTTTGGATCGGTCATATCTTTGCAATAAATGCACGCATCAAAATATTGAATACATATTTAGAATTCTTGTAAAACACTCTATAAACCTTGTAAATCCTAAAGCAAAATATTGAAAAACAAAAAAGTTGAAAAATTGAACTTTTTGAATTCACTTCCGTTTGCGACCGGAAGTGCCGACGACGAAAAATAAAGGTCGTTCCCCATATTGGAATTTGATGTTCTATTTATTCATTGAGTTTCAATTTCATATCTTTAGCCGTTGTCGAGAAAAATTCTGGACAAAATGCCATTTAAAAAATACAAATTTCCCCAAAAATCGCGAACAGAAGTGAATTTTGAAAAAATGAAAAACACGTCTGGAGATATTTACATGATGCATCTTCCGCGAAAAAATCTCTGAAATCTGCTCACTCACAGCTGAGATATCGCCATAACTATGAAAAAAAGAATAATAATAATAACTAGAAACTCATTACTAGTAATGAGAAGGTCTTCCGTTATACGACTTCCTGTTTGCATGAACATGTCTTTTCCAACGTCGGTATTAGCCTAAAACTTATGTAGAAACAAAATAACTTAAAAAATACTTTTTTGCTTCGTTTCCTCTCACGACCGGAAGTAATGACGACACACGATTTTTACACCAAGCAAATGAACTGATGACTGACTATAAGTCCTGAAAGTTTTAGAGTTC